ATTGGAAAAATAAGGCTAATACACAAAAATGCATTTAAGTTCCAGGATTGCCTTTCATACTGAGATTTCTGTTCTGCTGAATTTGGGGGGTCTTGTGAAAGTGATGGCAACTGGCAATTTTCTTTCCATGTCTCATCTCCTCTCCCAAATATTTTGGGAAGGCTTACTCATTTGTTACACACCTATTTCTAAGAACCACTGTTCCCTCCCATCAAGACAGTCTTTCCAATTCATAAGCACGGAATTACTTTCGGTTGGAATGGATGTCCAGGATCATCAGATCCAGGGAAGATAAGGTGTCTCCTCTTCATGTTACAGATTTGAGACCTAGGCAGGACCCGTGATCTCTCCGCTATGTAATTCAGTACTTTGCAGATGGCGGAAACTCAATAGGAAATGCTGTAAAGAATAAAGGTCATGGGTGGCAGATGGGGCCCAGAGCCCAGATATTCTGTCCTTTTCACCACACCGGGATCATGAGATTTCTGGAAAGACATGGGCAATCTGTTTAATTGAAAAACTGCCAGGTTTTCATAACAGGAAGGTGTTGGACTGGGACAGGAACAGCAGGAATCCAGCAGGGAGAATTGGGGTTTGTCTTGCTGAAGGTGAGCCTTGGAAAGTCTCATTAGATATTTTCATACTGCAGTGGGAGATGTGTGGGCAAGTGTTAGCGCCTCTGATGGTTTTCTCTACAGGCTGCGATATTAATGAGACTGGGGGGTTGGGAGGGGTTACTTGGTAGGGGGTACAGAGGAAGCCTTTGTGTTCTGCAGAAAGACAATGGAGACATAAAGGCCTATGAGAAATGAGAATGTTCTATACCATGGAGGGAGCAAGGGAACAGAGCCTTAAAACTAACTTTGAGGTCAAGTGCCACATGGCTTTCAGAATAACCAGGGGCTCTGAGTGCAGGGAAGTACCAAATACTTTACACTGTTAATGACTTAAAAATGCCAAGCTGTGTGCCAAAATGCCCTGCAAACAGTTCTGTGAACTTAGATTTTCATCAATTCTATATTACAGTTTCGGAAAAAAACTGTTTTCAATCATTTATTTAATGATGTTTCGTGAGGACATAGAGAAAGTGAAAGACTCATGCATTGCCAGTAGGAATATGAAATGATGCAATCTCTGTGGAAATCACTTTGGCAGTTCCTTAAAAAGTTAAATATAGAATTACCATAGGACCCAGCAACTCCATTCCTAGGTAGATTCCTAAAAGAACTGAAAAAGAGGTATTCAAACAAAAGCTTGTACACCCGTGCTCACAGCAGCACTATTTACAATAGCCAAAAATGGAAACAACCCAAAAGTCTATCAACTGGTAACTGCTTAAAGAAACCGTAGTATAGTCATACAGTGGAATATTACTGAGCCATAAACAAGAATGAAGTACTGATATGTCCTATGAGGTGGATGAAACTTGAAAACCTGCTTAGTAAAAGAAGCCATACAAAAAAGTCACTTTTTTTTTCTGAGATGAAGTCTCGCTCTGTCGCCCAGGCTGGAGTGCAGTGGCACAATCTCAGCTCATTGCAACCTCCGCCTCCCGGGTTCAAGTGATTCTCCTGAGTCAGCCTCCTGAGTAGCTGAGATTATAGACACACACCAACACGCCCAGCTTATTTTTGTATTTTTACTAGAGACAGAGTTTCGCCACATTGGTCAAGCTGGTCTTGAACTCCTGACTTCGTGATCCACCCACCTCAGCCTCCGAGAGTGCTGGGATTACAGGTATGAGCCACCACACCCAGCCTAAAAGGTCACATAATATATGATTCCACTTACATGAACTATCTAGAATAGGTAAGTCTATAGAGACAAAGATTGGTGGTTGCCAAGGACTTGGAGCAGGGGGAAGGAGGTAGACTGCTTAATGGGTAAGTGGTTCCCTTTTGGGGGCAATGAAGATGCTTTAGAACTAGACAGAGGCGATGGTTGTGCAATATTGGGAATTAGACACTGTTGTTGTTGTTGTCGTTGTTGCTGTTATTTTGAGGCAGGGTCTCGCTCTGTCGCCCAGGATGGAGTACTACGGTGCAGTCTTGGCTCACTGCAGCCTTGGCCCTCCAAGCTCAAACCACTCTCCCACCACAGCCTCCCAAGTAGCTGGGACAACAGGCATGCGCCACCACACCCAGCCAATTTGTTTATTTTTTGTAGAAACAGATCTACATACTCTTAAATCATGAAGTTGATGTTCTGTGAGCTTTACCCCAATAAAAAATGTTTAATATTTAAAAATATATTTAATAACTAGTCACTTTAATAACCCGTTACTAAAGAGATAATAAAAAGATATTGCAATCTAAGTAACTGTCATATGTTTCTCTTGAATTAAAGTTATAACCAGTCCTCCCTCTTTGGGGGTTTCACATCCAAATGTTGGTTTCACATTCTCAACCAACAGTAGATTGAAAATATTCTGAAAAAAATACCACAATACAACAATAAAAAATAATACAAATTTTAAAACAATACAGCATAGCAACTGTTGACATAGCATTTACATTGTAGTTGGTATTACAAGTAACTAGATATGACTTTAAGTATGCTGGAGGCTGTGTGCAAATGTCCTCCAAACAAGTCTATAAAGGACCGACTATAATCAGAGTTTAAAGGACTATTTTTCTTCAATTGGATGGATTAAAATCATTACCAACCTTTAATAATTCTATGACTCCTACAATTCACTTTAATGACTTATGATTATCATTGTGCAAATAATTAGGATAAATTTTAATGAAAGGCTTTCCTTGCATGTGCTGCAAATGATTGCTATGGTTAATGAAATTCACCTATTTTACAATAGTAGAAAGAGGAAAAAGTTAGAATTGATTTTTAAAAAAAGATTATTAAGACCTTTGGAAGTGGGTATTTCACTGTATTCCTGATGTCACTGACTCTTAAGATGCAAATTTTTTTCATATTTTAACATTGCTGAGATCAGGGTGCCTGTGACAGTCACCGAGACCAGGCAGCTGTCACGATGTAGCTGTAGCTGTCATTACCTGCTCTGGTTCATCTAAAAGTGCTAAATCATGTCAAGGACCTGGGGGACAATTCCAGAGTCAAGAGTGCATTCTTTAAAGAACATTCTTGATTTTGAAACATGGACATTAATGAGTCAATGTCAAAAAATGGTTCTGAAGAGTTGAATTCGGAATGTGAAGTTGTTTCAGGAATGCTTAGTTTGTTTCAATTACATTTTACTTTTCACTTTTCATATGTGTGTATACGTATACACACATACACACACAAACATGATATAGAGTAATGTTTTTGCTAAATAAGCCTTAAAAAGCTATTTCAATGAGGGCCAAATAAAAATTTAAATGATAAAAAGTATTTTATCATAATTTAATTGGCAGCATTTTTTTGTCTCCATAGAACATAAAATAACGGTGTTATATATTCAGTGATATCTTCGATATAATCAAGCATGGTGACTCTTTTGTATAAAATCTTAAATGTTTGCATTATTTTAGAAAATTATTCACAGCTCCAAATATTAAAACTGGTATACTTTTAATTTAAAGGTTAGCATATTTCAGTTTAGCTCTTTCAATGCATGTTTACTGAAACCCTGCAAAAACAAAGAGTTATATATCACATACAATGTGGAATATTAAAATATACGATAGCTCATACTCCAAAACAATTTACAGTCTGGTAGATCCATGATATTACTGATCTATGATTATGAGTTTCATTCAAAAAAGATGTACTGAGTAATTTCCATGTATCAGGTTCACTTCTAGGAACTGGAAATACAGTAGTAAACAAAACAACCTTCCTACCCTCCTTGAACTTGCATTCTAGAAGGACGACATTCTGTAAAAGGGATATGTAACAAATGTATGTAGTGCTGGACAGTGATAAAGGCTAAGAAACAAAAGTAACTGAAGACTGGAAGAGGACTGTAAATGTTGGAAGGAGACTAAAGTTTCAGGTAAGTATCTAGAAAGCCCCCACTAGGAAACCTGCAGGAAGCAGGGGCCAAAACAGATAACACGGGAAAAGAGCATTCCAGGTGGAGGGAACCTGGAAGGCCGGAAGCAGAGGCATGCCTGCATGTTAAGGAACGAGGAAGGTAGTCCAACTAGAGTGGAGAAAACGAGCGCAGCAGGTGATGGCATCAGAGAAGTCAAGAACCACCAAGTCGCGCCAAGCCCGAGGTCAGAATTAGGACTTCTGCTTTTCTTCTGAGTGGGATGAGAGTCATTTGCGATGTCTTAGCAGAGAAGTGGCTCACTTTTCATGGGTTTGCCTTGATTGCTATGTTGAGAGGAGACTGAAAGGGGGCAGGGCGTAGCCGGTAGCCAGTTAGGAGATGTCTTAGTCGAGGCCCAGCTGCTATAACAAAATGCCTGGGACTGGACAATTTCTAAACAATCAAAACTGACTCCCAAAGTTCCAGAGGCTGGGAAGTCCAAGGTCAAGGCACCAGCATATTCTGTGTCTGGTGAGGGCCTGTTTCTCATAGATGGTGCCTCCTCTGTGTCCTCAAATGGCAGGAGACAAAAGGACCTAGCTAGTTCCCTGCAGCCCTTTCATGAGGGCACTAATCCCATTCATGGGTGTAGAATCCTTATGGCCTAATCACCTCCCAAAGACCCCACCTTCTAGTACCATCAGGTTGGGGTTTAAGTTCCAACACACAGATTTCGGAGGGACACACACATTTGAACCACAGCACCAGGTGAAAGACGAGGGCACCTTGGATCATGGTGGTGTGAGTGAGGAAGGTGAGAAGTGATAGAGCTCTGAATATATACAGATTTGAGATGAAGTCTCACTCTCCCAGGCTGGAGTGCAGTGGTGCAATCTCAGATCATTGCAACCTCCACCTCCCGAGTTCAGGTGATTCTCCTGCCTCAGCCTTCCAAATATCTGGGACTACAGGCACATGCCACCACACCCAACTAAATTTTTTTTTCATATTTTTAGTAGAGACTGGTTTTCCCCATGTTATGCAGGCTGGTCTTGAACTCCTGACCTCAAGTGATCTACCCACCTTGGCCTCCCAAAGTGCTGGCATTATAGATTTGAGCCACTGCACCCAGCCAAATTCTGAACATATTTTGAAGGTAGCACCAACAGGATTTGTTGATGGATCGGAGGTGCGGCATGAAATACAGAGAGTGGTCACAGATGATACCATGGTCTTTGGTCTGAGCAAATACAATGAAGTTGTCATGAGCAGGATGAGGAAGACTCTAGGAAGCACTATCAAGATCTCAGTTTTGAACATGTTGTGTTTGAGATGCTGTGCTCTGTGAAGCAATTCCAGCAGGTCTAGAATTGGCCTGAACTTTTACTGAAATGAGAAATAGACCTGCATAGCATTGTTCCCTGGGAAGACACAGAACATATTGATTACTAGTGATGCTTTGTACCCATGGGTCTGTGGAGTTTTTGGGTGGTTTATACTACCTTGTCAGCATTGTTGATTAGTAATGGTGAGGTTAGATTGATGGTTTGCACCTGGTTTCAGTGAGGACCATCTCCTCCCTCACCCCCTAGAAGGCTCTGCCATTGGGCCCAGTTGCACAGGAGCAAGTGCCCATGTGATGCCTATGGGATAAAAGAAACCCAAGATCAGATGGGAACGGTGGCTCACACCTGTAATCCCAGCACTTTGGGAGGCTGAGGTGGGTGGATCACCTGCGGTCAGGAGTTTGAGATCAGCCTGACCAATTTGGTGAAACCCCATCTCTACTAAAAATACAAAAATTAGCTGGACGTGGTGGTGGGCACCTGTAGTCCCAGCTACTCAGGAGGCTGGGATTTGAACCCAGGAGGTGGAAGTTGCAGTGAGGCGAGATCATGCCACTGCACTCCAGCCTGGGTGATACAGCTAGACTCCTCCAAAAAAAAAACATGAGACCCAAGACAAGACTCCATTTGGGGCTCCCTGGTTGTAAGGTGTTTCGTGTACATATCAGTGGTTCCTGATCTGGGAGAGGGCATGTCCAGCACGGCCCTTCCAGAGGGAGAATAATTGGAGCTTACACCTGGCCCCTCTGGACCCCTTGCTGTGTGACACAGCCTGTTGGAAATAGATGTTTGGTGCTGCAAAGAAAAATTAGCACTGAGACAAAGTATCCTTCAGCAAGGCAATTTTTACTTCCTGGACTGCAGGAAAGGTACCCTTGCTAGTCATTGTGCACGAGAGTACAAAGGTAAACACGCAAATTTATTTCTTACACATTTGGGGTTGTCCTTACTGCTGTGTCTGATCTCTGTTGGCTGGAGTCAGACCTCACAATCTAAAGTAAAACCTGATTAGCTAACAACTTAAGACTTTTCTAAACAGGTAAAAGCAATGGAGAGCTGGGAAATGCCTGTGAGCATGTCCAGCACAGATATCTTGGTTAAAGTACAAGGACATAAAATGTACTATGTGCCTGTAAGCATGGCATGTCTAATGGCTACATAGGATAGGACTTAACAAAGAGTTATTAGCACACTTATGATTTATTCTTTAATAAGAAACCAAACTTTAAAAAGGAACTTTTCTACTTCCCACACACCCCTTGGCTGTGATGCATGCCCCTACTTCAATGCTGCTATATCGTGTCCTTTGCCTGCAGTAAACTGTGGATTGGTAAACACTGTCATTTGGTGACCTGTAAGTCTTTAGCAATGAAACTCTGCTCAACTGCCACCAATAAAGCAGATGCCAGTTAGACATTTAGGAGGTTGATTACAGAAATGGACTCTAAAGCTCCGTCAAAGATGAAGTCTATTTCTCCACTCTTTGAATTGACCAGTGACTTTGGTAATAGAATGTGGTAATAGGAACAGTGGCTAGTTCTGGGCCTAAGCCTTGTTAAGTGAAGCCAAATTCCACCTGAGGTTGCCTCCATACTTGTGTCTTAGATTGCAGTAACAAACTGCAATCTAACTTAGACATAAATTAGATGAAAGCAAAACTCACGAGCAGACTTTGGTAACCAATAGCTGAGTCCCAGCCAGTCACAGCAACTGAGCTTCAGTCAGTTACAGGTGGCCAACTGATCAGACCAGCTTCAAATATAGTGTCTGCTGATTGGTTACTGAGCTGTAACCAAACAAGCTGTTTCTGTACCTCATTTCTGTTTTCTGTCTATAAATGCTGCCTGCCTACGTTGCAAAGTAGGGCGCTCTCATGTGCGTGTTTTCTCTCTCTTCTTCTTCCTCCCCCACCCTCCCTCTCTCTGCGCCTCCCTCCCTCCCTCTCTCCCACCCTTCCTCTCCCAAGCTATCTTGCTGAAGGATGAGACATGTGCAGCAGAGTGGAATCAGCTCAGTTTTCCCAGCTAAGGCCCCATGCATTTGAGAAAGCCCAGCGAAGATTACTCAAGCCACTCAGCAAACCCACAGCCGACAATAGATGCATAAATGAGCTTCGCCAAGCCCAGCACAAATCATCTGAACTGCCCAGCTGGTCCACATACTGTAAGCAAAAAGAATAGTTTGTTATTATATGCACCTAACGTTTTGTTATGGTTGTATGTTATACAACATTATTGTGGCAATGGGTAACGGACACATATGTTCAAGTAGGGATGTCAAGCAGGCAGTTGGATGCATGGCTCTGAGGGTCAGGTGAGAAGTCCAAGCCGGAGGAAATTGTGAGAGCAGTCAGCAACATGGTAGACACAGCTGCTCCACCTAGATTCCCTGCAGTACCTTGTTTTCTTTTCTGAGAGCCCCACTCATGCTTTTGCTTCTAACACCCAGCACCTGTGTCTTTTTGGAGACTCCCCTTTAGGCTTTTAGAGCTGCTTTTCCCTCCACAATTAGAAAACGAGATATACTTGGAAAATGACTTCCCTCCGGGACAGCAGTCCCCAACCTTTTGGGCACCAGAGACCGGTTTTGTGGGAGACAGTTTTTCCATGGACTGCTATACAATTTTTTTTTTGTTGTTCTCATTTTGCTTTCAGTTTCAATGTCCTCTTGAGCAGATGAAAAGACAACAGACCAGTCCTGGGAGGGGGCGGGCAGGGCCGAGGGAGCTGAGCCAGGGCAGGCGGAGAGGAAGGGAGAGGAGAGAGGAAAGGAGAGGAGGGCGCTGGGCTGCTGGGGGAAGGGGGTCCTGCAATACAACACCTGGTCCAAGGAATGTTCCACCTCTAACTGAAAAAAAGAAATAGCAAGAGTGACCGCTTTTTTCCTTTTTAAAAGTTTATTTTAAAAACAAGAAGAGGGCCGAGGGTGGGAGAAAATGAATTGCTTTATCTTCAGAGAGGCAGGTTCAGGAAGGCTGGGGGGTAAAGAATAGACTTTTATATATATATATATATATATATATAATTTTATAAGTTCTGCTTTGTTCTTTGTGTTTTTTAATTTTAAAGGGTTTTTTTTGGCAGAGATTTAGATCTCGCTGTCTTCTCTGGCTGGCTCAACATGAAGGATCCCAATTTTGAAAGAAAAGGCATGTGAGACACAGAGCGGGCCAGAGAGTGAGGGACCGGCACGCCCCCAAGCCCCCCGCCCCACGTGCCGTGAGGGCTCCCTGATACTCCCCGTGGCAGCCATCGCTCTCCAAACAAAACAGAAGCCCCCAAACAGAACAAAATGGAAAAAAAAATATTTTTCGCAGATGAAGAAGTTCACATTCATTTGATTCTTTGAGCCTGCAGAGAGGGAAGAGATAGGAATCGGTCACCACGGGGAGGGGAGGGTGGGAGACTGGGGGGCAGAAGAGAGGAGGGGGGTGGTTTTGGGGATGATTCAAGCACATTGCATTTATTGTGCACTTTATTTTTATTATTATTACATTGAAATCTATAATGAAATAATTACACAACTCACCATAATGTAGAATCAGCGGGAGCCCTGAACTTGTTTTCCTGCAACTAGATGGTCCCATCTGAGGATGATAGGAGACAGTGACAGATCATTAGGCGCTAGATTACCATAAGGAGCGTGTAACCTAGATCCATCACATATGCAGTTCACAATAGGGTTTGTGCTTCTATGAGAATCTGATGCCACTGCTGATCTGACAGGAGGTGGAGCTCAGCTTCACTCTCTGGCCCGCTGTTCATCTTCTGCTGTGCAGCTCAGTTCCTAACAGGCCATGAACAAGTACCAGTCTCTGGTTCAGAGGTTGGGGATTCCTGTGCTATAAGACAGGAGGTGGAGCTCAGGCAGTAATGCGAGGGATTGGGAGTGACTGCAAATACAAATGAAGCTTCCCTTGCTTGCTCATCTACCACTCACCTCCTGCTGTACAGCGCAGTTCCTAACAGGCCACAGACAGGTACCGGTTCGTGGCCCACGGTTTGGAGACCCCTGTTCTAGGACGATCCTTGGCCAGTGACACACAGGCACAGGGTACAGAGCAGAAGGTGTATGAAAGCCTAGTTCTCTTGTTCCAAAAAACTCTGGGCATACCTTAAGCCCCAGGGTTTCTGTACACCCAGGATTGGGTTAAAACCACCACCCTTTGCAAAGCCTGCCTGAGATGATACCTTTGCTGGGCTTCCTCTCCTCTGTATACGTGTCTCTCTGCCTTACCAGTCCGGGGAGTATTTCCTTAAAATATCATGTGCATACAAATCAGGCTCTGCTTCTGGGTCACCCACCCTAAGACAACACATAAGTAATATTTGAAGCCATAAGTCTAGATGAGCTATCGATAAGATTAGCAAGGAACTTGATATTCATAGTTATTCTCTATATTTAGCATTTTAAGACATTTTGATTTGTTTAAATTTTGCATTCCTTTTTAAAATTTTGGAACCAAGGCAATTCTGAATGTTGCTAAGTATAAAGTCTGCCCTTGCACTGATGAATTTATGGAGCAAATATTCAAGATTCTGTCAGAGTCGGATTTGCTAACCAGGTTACGATCCCCTTGATAACATATTGGCTTCTGGATGCAAATATAAAAATAGAGGGATGGGAGTGTGTGAGACTGTGTGCAAGTGTGTGAGTGTGTGTGTATGTGTGAGTGTGTGTGTGTGCATGTGTGTGAGAGTGTGTGTGCAGACACTTCCGTTGAGGCAGGAATAAAGGTGTCCTATGCATGTTATTGGCCATCAGACCAAGTGAGAAACAGCCCCTATGGACCTAGAGAATACATTCCAGATTCTGGAATGTTTTGCACAGTACCTAAGAGTAATATGGTAAAGCTCCAGAAAGAAAAAATGACCACAAATACACATCATTCAAAAATATTTATTTTAGGTCATTTACAATATAACTGTCAATGCACATGTAGGATGAACTTATCAGACATGATTCTGCCCTCTCTGCCCTTAAAAGTTGATCGGCTGATGAGGGGAAGAGAGATAGGCATTAAATAATTACCTAGATAATCATTTACTTATTATTTGTGTTTGAAAGAAAAAGTACAAGGCATTCTTAGGGTAAATAACTGGGGACTAACCCTCTGGGTTAGTAACTGGGGGAAGCACTCTTTGGCTTGTCCAACCCGTCGCCACACTCTGAGCTCCCCGGAACAGAGACTCTGTCTTGCTGATCCTCCATCACAATGCTAGATTTGTGGCACTTTAAAAATGTTTGTTGAATGGATGCATGAGGATAGTAGGGAGGATGAGAATAAAGGCTGTGATAAGGAGACCTAGGAGAAGAGATTTCAACGTAAGTTGAAGCCAGATCATGGAAGACCTTAAGTATCATTTGAAAAAGTTTGGACTTCATCATGTGGGACATGGGAGCCACTAAAAGTGTCTGAGCCAGACTGATGTGATTAGAGCTGTGTTTCATGAAGGTAACACTGGAGAGGCTGGGGGCAGGGAGCCAGCTGGGAAGTTGCTTAGATTGGTGGTAGTAGAAAGGGATGGGAAGGAGGGAACAGCTACAAGGGGACGATTGGCTGCAGCAGACCCTGAGAACTGTTTCAAGTGAGAGATTTGCTCTGGGGCATTTGCCACTAGAGGCTGCAGTTCACATAAACTCTCTGTAATGTTTCCTAAGAATTCTCCAGAGGCTCATGAGTTTTCTAGTTAGGTAATTAAGGAATAGTTATGTTCTCAAGAGAATAGCTGAATGCCCTAGATAATTTCTCCAGTTTTGATTTAGCAAATGGGTGAGATAACTATGCCATCCTTCCTTTTTGGCTGATGCCCACTTCCTTCAGACTAAACAACCATTTAATCACACTGCAGCAATATCAGTCACCTGTGGTGTCTTTAGAAGCTTCACTATGTCAGCTCCTGGATTTGGGCTTCCCTTTATCAACTAGAGTGAATGGTTCATTTTTATTGCTCTCCTACTAGCTGTAATTGCCAATACTGTAGATGATGTCATGGGTTTGTTTGTTCATTAAAAGTAATTAAGCCTGAAAGAAAAGGGAGCATACCAAAAACTTATGCTATATTGCAAATTTTATATCCGAAGTCAGGAATGAGAAAATTTAAGATTCTCCAGGCACTCGAATGTTAATTTCTCTGCCCTACATATGTTTCAAAAGATATTTCAAATCTGATCCTGAATCCGAACTAATCATCCATAATGTGGGTGGGTTAGCAGGAGCATAATTTATCTTCTGGTTTGTTAATTTCATAAACAATATTTATGAGTAATTATTCTGTGCACTCATGAACATTTATGAGGGTCTATTATGTGCCAAACTCTTCTATATTTTATAACTTTATGTACCTAAAGCTTTCACCTTCACACAACTCCTGCAAGATGCTGTGTTATTATCTCTATGTTACAGCTGAAGAAACAGGCTGAGTGGTTCAGTGACTTGCCCGAGGCCACACAGCTCTTCGGTGATGGAGCCTGTCGGAAATTGGAGTTACCTTGGCTCCAATCCCCACTCCACTATCCTGCCTTTCTCTAAGATTGAACCAGAGCTCCACAACTCAGCAAAAAGGTTGACAGTCTTCTCTAATATAGGCGAATAAAATAAAAGCTGTCTTTCATGCTGCCCTGTCATCAAAGCAGAGAGCAAGCCTCAGTGAGTTTACCAGTTTGAATGAGCAAAAAACCCTGATTCCCAACAGCAAACAGATATGACCACTGTTGAGAAACATTAAGTTTACCCTGCCCCCATGGTTATCTTGTGGAAGATACTTTTAGTGTGTAATTAGTGGTAGGCAGGTAACAGCTGCCTACCTAGTATATTTGTATATGTGTAGCAAAGAAACACGTGGATGACTCTCTGCGCTGGGTTTTTAGTCTGGAGACCTGTCAGCCCCGCAGGCTCTCAGGCTGCTGGTCCCCAGGATAGATCCACTCTGTTGTGCTGTCTTGGTATCTGCCTCTCAAATAACTTCAGCGCCATCTGGGTGGGGGTCTCCCAACCGAGCTGGTTCTTGGTAAGAGGCGCCCAAGTGTGGAGACTCAAACCCGGGATGAAGGGTTGCCTGACCAATGGAAAAAGAGGCTAAGCTGAAGGTATCTCGGGAATGTTTGAAAAGAATCCCCCAGGTGAGTTAGGGGGAGCCGCAGGAAGCCCGGAGGGGAGACTCCCAGGTGAATTAGGGAGAACCTTGAAGTAGACCAAGAACGTTTGCAAAAATCTCCCAAGGTTAGTTGGGGGAACTCGGAATTAGCCCAAGAACATTTGAAAAAAATCTCCCAGGGTGGCAGCTGGGGGAACTCAGTCATATTGGGGTAACATGGGACAAAGGTCAAGCAAACGCAAGGTTTATTTGGTGTGGTCCGTTTGGACCTTTGGTGTGTTTTGCCCTGGAGCTGTTTCAGACAGAAGATGGGGAAAAGGATTCAGGAGAAAATTCAGTAGAAGAGAAGGAGTATGTAAAGAAATTATGGAGCAAAAAGATGAAAAGTCAAATGAGGAAAAGGTGTGCCCATCAGCCCCCCTCAGTATCTTGCAGAGAGATGGCCAGAGCCTCCTGATATTTCTACCTCTGCTTCTGTTGGCGTGTGTACTCCTAGAACTATGGTAACCGGTTCGGGTGCTTATACTCCTGTATCTATGGTAACCAGTTCTATCCAAGCTGGAATTCAACAAATGGGAAGTGAGGGAGATTTAGAGACATGGCAATTTCCAGTTGTTATACACCCTCAAGATCAGCAAGGGCAAGTACGGGTTGCATTTGAACCCCTTCCCTTCAAACTGTTAAGAGATTAAACAGGCCATCAGTCAGTATGGGCCTGAGTCTCCGTTTGTGCGAGGATGATCGAAGAATGTAGCTTTTTTTTTTTTAATTGTATTTGGGCTCTGGGGTCCATGTGCACATCCTGCATCCTGCAGGATTATTGCATAGGTACTTACCTGCCATGGTGGTCTGCTGTCTCCATTCCCCACCCCCCCCCCCCCCCCCTTCCCCCCCCCCACATCAGGTATTTTTCCCAGTGTTATCCCTACCCATAATCCCTGCCCCCACCCCCTCCCCTTCCCCCCAC